GGACGTTTTCCATCGAAAATGAGAGAGTCTGATGTAAGAGAAATGTTTAGTAAATACACAAAGATTGAGCGTATTGATATTAAAACTGGATTTTGTTTTGTTGTATGTTTTTGTGTTATAAAAAAATAAAAAAAAATAACAAGTAGGTTTGTGAAACAGAAGAAGATGCAAAAAAAATAATCGATTTATCTCAAACAACTCCTTTTATGTTCCGTGATAAAAAAATTAATATTGAACTTAGCAAACAGAATAATTCAAATAAAGAATGTTATATTTGTCATCAACAAGGACATATTGCTCGTAATTGTCCGAAGTTTGTGATTTATTTTTAAGTAATAATGAAAAGAAAATTACTTACTTTTAGGCAATCAGGAAGAAGGTATGAACGTAATAGGCCTAGAAGAAGACGTTCAAGAAGTAGATCACCAAATATTAGAAATCGAAATAGGTCGCCAAATAGTAGAAGTAGGTCACCGAACAGCAGAAGTAGATCACCAAATAGTAGAAGTAGGTCACCAAATAGTAGAAGTAGGTCACCAAATAGTAGAAGTAGGTCACCAAATAGTAGAAGCAGTTCACCAGGTATTAGAAATAGAAATAGGTCACCAAATAGTAGAAGTAGATCACCTTCAAGAAGAAGATATCGTAAAAGTACTAGTTTTAAAAGAAGATATTCATCAAGAAGTAGATCAAGAAGTAATTCTAGAAGACGTTCATATAGTAGGTCAAGAAGTAATTCTAGAAGTTATTCTCAAAGAAGTCAACATAATGACTAATACCAAAGAAACTAAATCGTTCATTTATTACTCTTTCAAAGACCAATTTTTATTATATTTTAATAATAAAAGAATTAAAAAAAAATAGTAAAATAAACAAAACCTAAAAAAAAGAAAAGAAGTAAAAAAAGAAAAAACAAAACGAAGAAAGAAAAATAGGGCAGAACTTGAAAAAAATAAAGAAAGAAGTACAAAATGAGTGAGAAAGTCAGAATGTTAAATGTCCCAAGAAGAAAGACTGATGAGTTCTACCGTTATAAAATGCCAGATTTAATTCATAAAATTGAAGGTAAAGGA